GACTCTTGCCACTCCTTATTTCATAATCCGTCGATCCTTACCCAAAACTTGAAAACTTCACAACACAAAACTCAAAAGAAAACTTGTAAGCTCCGTTAGTATAAGAAAATAAATCACCACTTTTGGTACTATTGTGAACTCATTCTAAATTCATATTGGTGTAATATCTACTGTATTACAACTTCTCTATGGTTCATACCCTCTGATACTACTCATAGATTCATCAAAATAAACAAACAACACATAGAAAACAGAATCTATCAAAAATAGAACAGTCTGTAGTAATATGTAAATCTCGGATACTTATGTAACCCCAAAAATTCTGAAATAAACTGGTGGACGTGAGAAATTTCTCTATTAATCTTATTCAAAAAGAATCAACTTGAAAGCTCTCTTCTGTTAAAAATGAAAATTATTCTCGTGGGCACAATGTTTCTGTTTTTTACAGCAAGATCACATTAACTTTCACCCAAGTCTTCCCAAAGGTTCTACTTGGCACTTCATTAAAACAAAAGCTATAAAACATGATTACTACAATATCTTAATCATGTTAACACACAAAAATAGTAGGGGTAAATATTGGGTTGTCTTCCAACAAACGCTTTTCTTTAATGCCTTTTTAGCTAGGCATGATTATTTCAATGATGCTCGTATAAAAGATAAGAATTGATATATAATGGGAGCATCATGAAGAATATGACTAACACATTTAATCCTAACCCACTTCATATGCATAGGGATTTTGTGAGCAAACAACTTATGGGAGCAATAATCAACTAGCATAGGAAGGCAAAACAAGCATAACTTCAAGATTTTCAACATATAAAGAGGAAACTTGATATTATTGCAATTCCTACAAGCATATATTCCTCACTCATAGTAATTTTCAGTAGCATCATGAATGAATTCAATAATATAACCAGCACATAAAGCATTCTTTTTATCATCCCCAAGCATATAAATTTTATTACTCTCCACACAAGCAAAATTCTTCTCATGAATAGTAGTGGGAGCAAACTCAACAAAATAACTATCATGTGAGGCATAATCCAATTGAAAGCTAAAATCGTAATGACAAGTTTCATGGCTATCATTATTCTTTATAGCATACATGTCATCACAATAATCATCATAGATAGCAACTTTGTTCTCATAATCAATTGGAACCTCTTTCGAAATAGTGGGTTCATCACTAAATAAAGTCATGACCTCTCCAAATCTACTTTCATAATTGTCACAATAAGATTCAACACCCTCCAGAATAGTGGAATCATTACTTCCTAAAGTTGACACTCTTCCAAACCCACTTTCATCAATATAATCATCATAAATAGGAGTCATGCTATCATCATAATAAATTTGCTCATCAAAACTTGGGGGACAAAAAATATCATATTCATCAAACATAGCATCCTCAAGCTTGTGGCTTTGCATATCATTAGCATCATGGATATTCAAGGAATTCATACTAATAACATTGCAATCATGCTCATCAATCAAAAATTTAGTGCCAAACATTTTATTGCATTCTTCCTCTAGCAATTGAGCACAATTATCGAAATCCTTATTCTCACAAAAGATATTAAAAAGATGAAGCATATGAGGCACCCTCAATTCTATTTTTTTTGTAGTTTTATTTTATAAACTAAACTAGTCATAAAACAAGAACCTAAAAGATTCAATTGCAAGATCTAAAGATATACCTTCAAGCACTAACCTCCCCGGCAATGGTGCCAGAAAAGAGCTTGATGTCTACTATGCAACCTTCTTTTTGTAGACGTTGTTGGGCCTCCAAGTGCAGAGGTTTGTAGGACAGTAGCAAATTTCCCTCAAGTGGATGACCTAAGGTTTATCAATCCGTGGGAGGCGTAGGATGAAGATGGTCTCTCTCAAACAACCCTACAACCAAATAACAAAGAGTCTCTTGTGTCCCCAACACACCCAATACAATGGTAAATTGTATAGGTGCACTAGTTCGGCGAAGAGATGGTGATACAAGTGCAATATGGATGGTAGATAAAGGTTTTTGTAATTTGAAATTATAAAAACAGTAAGGTAACTAGTGGTAAAAGTGAGCGAAAACGGTATTGCAATGCTTCGAAACAAGACCTAGGGTTCATACTTTCACTAGTGCAAGTTCTCTCAACAATGATAGCATAATTACATCATATAAAAATCCCTCAACATTCAACAAAGAGTCACTCCAACGTCACTAATAGCGGAGAACAAACGAACAGATTATTGTAGGGTACGAAACCACCTCAAAGTTATTCTTTTCGATCAATCCATTGGGGCTATTCCTATAAGTGTCACAAACAGCCCTAGAGTTCGTAGTAAAATAACACCTTAAGACACAAATCAACCAAAACTCTAATGTCACCTAGATAGTCCAATGTCACCTTTAGTATCCGCGGGTATGATTATACGATATGTATCACACAGTCTCAGATTCATCTATTCAAACCAACACAAAGAACTTCAAACAGTGCCCCAAAGTTTCTACCGGCGAGTCAAGACGAAAACGTGTGCCAACCCCTATGCCTAAGTTCACAAGGTCACTGAACCCGCAAGTTGATCACTAAAACATACATCAAGCGGATCACGTGAATATCCCATTGTCACCACAAATAAGCACATGCAAGACATACATCAAGTGTTCTCAAATCCTTAAAGACTCAATCCGATAAGATAAGTTTAAAGGGAAAACTCAATCAATTACAAGAGAGTAGAGGGGGAGAAACATCATAAGATCCAACTATAATAGCAAAGCTCGCGGTACATCAAGATCGTGCCAAATCAAGAACACGAGAGAGAGAGAGAGAGAGCGAGCGAGAGAGAGAGAGAGAGATCAAACACATAGCTACTGGTACATACCCTTAGCCCGAGGGTGAACTACTCCCTCCTCATCATGGAGAGCGCCGGGATGATGAAGATGGCCATCGGTGATGGATCCCCCCTCTGGCAGGATGCCGGAATAGGGTCCTGATTGGTTTTTCGTGGCTACAGAGGCTTGCGGCGACGAGACTCCCGATCTAGGTTTCTTTTCGGGGGTTTATGTATTTATAGGAATTTTTGGCATCAGTCTCACGTCAGGGGGGGTCTCCGAGTCATCCACGAGATAGGGGGCACGTCCAGGGGGGTAGGGCACGCCCTCCACCCTCGTGGATGCCTCGGGACTTTTCTGGCTGAACTCTTTTACTTCGGGGGCTTCTTTTGGTCCATAAAAAATCCACAAAAATTGGCAGGTTTGGACTCCGTTTGCTATTATTTTTCTGTAAAACTCAAAAGGAAGGAAATAACAGAAACTGGCACTGGGCTCTAGGTTAATAGGTTAGTCCTAAAATCATATAAAATAGCATATAAATGCATATAATACATCCAATATGGATAACATAATAGCATGGAACAATAAAAAATTATAGATGCGTTGGAGACGTATCAGGCGCGGTCGGCATTGGGACCCTCTTTGGATCCAAGTGCCAGTCGTGTGGCAGGGTGACGTCGGGGTAGGGAAGAGGGACGTGGTTCTCCCAGTGCCACTTCCCCTGGTGCACTGGGACGCTCACATGTCCCACCGGCGGAGGCGGGGGGGGGGGAGGGGTCGCTGGGGCCTTGCCCTTGCCTTTGCCGGAGAAGAAGCCCATTCTTGCTGGCTAGGGTTGCCGCCGTCGGGAGAGCAGAGG